GGGAAGGGAAGGGAAGGGAAGGGAAGGGAAGGGAAGGGAAGGGAAGGGAAGGGAAGGGAAGGGAAGGGAAAAGGGATCAGGGCTGAAAATGCCAAATATTCATCCCTTTATTCATCAAAGTGGAACTCCAATCAGTACTAATGGGAAATGCTTAATGAGAATGGTACTGAGTCATTTCCTCTGAATGGTTCTCAGTTAAGGTTCTACAGTGGAATGCAAGTATTTCAACTTGTGACTCAGTAGGCAGCCTCCTAGCAGAGCAGGATTGCTCTGTTGACAGTGGTGTTGCACTGCACAGGGAAAGTCATGGAGCAAAAACTGATGCTACACAGTTATGGAGCAAAAACTGATGCTACACAAAGTGCCAGAAAAGCAAAACAATCATGAGGATCCTTAATGGATATAGTTCAGTATAACAGTAACAAGAAGTGCATCTCTGTCTTGTGCTAGAACCAGCACAGTACTTCCAAGTGTGCTGTTGTCATACATGATGTCACTTACATACAAAAGGAACTCTGCTTTATGCATTTTCCTATATCCTCCCCCTCCTTTTTTTTTTTTTTTTTTCATTACTTTCTCTCTTCCCTTATGTTCCTTTTATGTTCCTTTTTTGATGTCATTTATGTGCTTGATATTTCCTTCTTTACTAAAGAAGTTCTCTGCAAGCTCTCCACCAGAACTCTCTGCTGTTGTTTTCTGCACTTCTCCATGCCTCTGCTAATGAATGAGAATGGAAGTAGTCAATGCTGATGTTCCCAAATATTGTCTAAAGGCTTTTTAGTTAAGCTGAGTAATAAAAGTGCTTACCATTGCTTTAGAGTTTCTGTTGATGATTCTAGAGTACAACTCTGTACTTGTCAAATGAAAAAAATCTAGTGTTTGCAGCCATAAAAATTAGAAACTTTCAAGTGAAATCTCAAATTTCATGATACCAATCACATGTTCCAGTATTAAGGAAAATGTCTCACACTATTGCAAAAACAGATAGCAGCTGTACTCCTGAATATGCTCATTTTCTGTGCCACCGTAGGCAGGACTGTGTTAAGATTTTAAACTCTATTCCAGAGGCTTAGAGTTCCAGCCAATGTCCTGCAGAGCTGGCTGAATTTTGCCTTTTAAAGTGTGTTCTTGTCCCCAGATGACTCTGTGCAGCACTGGTTGGCAGAAGCAGGTGGGTGAGTGCCTAGTCATGCGACAGGAAAGGATCACAGCAAGAATTATTTCATCCCTTACGGCATGGTACACCACAGGCGTGTGGGATATTAGTACTATCGGTAGTCAGAACCTGTGAGGCTGAACGTTTCTTCCATAGCACCAAGATAATACACTAGAAGATGCAGTTCCCAGCTAATACCCAAGTACATGCAGTATTTCTGAATCTAGTTTGCATTTGCATCTGTAATATGGAGAATATTTAATCAGTTTAATTTCTTTGCTGTTGCCAGACTAATACTCACTGTGGCATTTCTGTCTGCTTTGGTACAAACTCAGGTGTAAGCTCAAGACTTTCTAATAAGATCTTTCTCACTAGAAGTAGCTTCTTCTCATAAACTGTAAAAGTTTTAAATTAGAGAAATTAAGTAAAACCCACAGCTAATAGACATCTTTATAGACCTTTCCTATTCACAAGGAGTAAGAGTGACCTGACTCTATCATAGTTGTGATGAATTCTGACTTTTTTGGTGATAATTCTGTGGGAACATAACAATTGCCAAAACGGTGACGGTTCTGTAGCCTGCTTACTTTAAATTAGTCTACTAACTCAAAATTCAATGTTATGTTATCGTTAGATAGCTAATGGTTTTATTCTAGTAAGCTATGGGAAGCAAAACCTTTACTTTCTGTTCGTCTCTCTTCTGTGTCCTTAAGAGGTTCATTCTAAAAGCCTGATTTGGTACACTAAGGCAAACACAGAAAATCATAGAATCATAGAATCATAGAATGCCGAAGGTTGGAAGGGACCTCAGAGTCCAACCCCCCTGCTCACRCAGGGTCACCTAGAGCACGKGGCACAGGGCTGCATCCAAGCGGGTTTTAAAGATCTCCAAAGAAGGAGACTCCACAACCTCTCTGGGCAGCCTGTTCCAGTGCTTTGTCACCCTCACAGTGAAGAAATGCTTCCTTAAGTTCCTGTGGAACTTCCGATGCTTCAGTTTGAAGCCATTTCCTCTAGTCCTATCCCTGCCCACCACTGAAAAGAGGCATACTTCAACAATAAAACACTTGCTTCAGGGCAAAAACTAGCATGAGATTGGAATGAACCCTAAGCTAATACCTTTGGTTTACTAGTGGATAATGCTTTCCTTTCAATGATACTTAGTGAAATGCTTCACAGAGGAACTGAAAGTTGGCAAAAAATACTGCCTTTGAAAGCTAGACGCCAGCTGATTTTACACCTAGAAGCAGAACTATTGATGATCTGTTACAACTGGTTAATTAAATTCTATGCTGTTAGCCCTCAAAAAGAAGCATTAAATTGCAACTCTGATTAGCAGATTTGCTAGCCAAACACAGGGAGATTCCTGATATCATTCTGACTATATTTGAGCTTTTAAAAATGTGTGCTATTCAACTAGTGAAGTGTCTCTATGTTAGGGGGGGGGGAGGGGAAGGAATGGATTTCTGCTGTCTCGTCAGTCTGTCTTCCTGTCTCTCTGTTCAATGAGTGTGGTAAAACTCCCTTCACATTTTTTAAATGTTTCTTGGACTCTTACCAGCAGGTTTTTTACAGTCTGCTGCCTGTCTCTTGGATTAGAAGAACACTAGCATATTTTAGCTGTTTCCTAGGATCCAAATAGTCTTTAATTAACAGGGAATTGATGTTTTGGAACGCAACCAAAATATGGGAGACACTGGAAGCAGAGATTGAACTTGAATCCTTCCAGCTTTTAACTGTCTGTGGCAGGGGAGCAAACAAATAACTAAAACATGGTCTGCTGCAAACAGGTAGCTGCTTATTGGTATGCAAGGGGATTTCTTTGTTTGCATAATGTTCCCACAGGAGGGGTGGCTGTTGGCATTAGGAAAGAGAAGCTTTCTGCTTTGCAAGAATCAGCTCCACCTCCTGCAACAAGGGCGAGTATTAGTCAGGGTCCTTTGAAGTAAAAAGGATAAACAGAATTTCAGGGGCTGCTGAAACTTGTATTTCAGTAGTGGTTTTGCAATAGATCTGTATTGATGAACTGCTGAGGCAGCAAGGTATGTTCTGTTTGCTATGTACTGGTTGACTCTGGAGCTGTGAGCTCGGAAAGGGAGTGTTTAATTAAAAAATAAGAGGTCTGCAAATGGCTTGAATTTTGCTGAGCAGAACAGCTGGGTCTGTTGTTTTTCTGCTTTTTTGCTTGTTTTTGTTTCTTTCTTTTCTTTGGTGCAAAGTTTGCCAAAGGAGTCTGAGTAACAGGTCTGGGGTACAGCATGAGTTTTAACAGTGAGACTAGCTGAAGTTGTAAAGGAAGTCAGATGTAGACTGACTTGTCATTCCAGGTAATCCAGGGAGTGAAATGATTTACTAGCTAATTTTAAATAATGAAATATTGATACCTGAGGCAGTTCCTAGCAAAGAACTACAAACAAGAGTTGGTGAGTCAGCTGCACTCTTTTTTGATAATGCAGTAAATTGTGGGCAAGTAAAAATGCATATTTAACCCAGTAGGTGCTTTTAGCATTGATTTTCAGAGTTTCTTTGTAGTTGTATTTTTTTGAATGTCTTCTGTCTTTTTTTTTGCATGTAGGTGGTACATGCCAGAGCCCTGCTCTTCCAGCCCTAGTGCGTCCTCCTGCTCCACCTTTGCAGCCATCGCTGGATATTAAACCATTTCTTCCTTTTCCTCTGGACACTGCAGCAGCAGTCAATCTCTTTCCCAACTTCAATGCAGTAAGTACACTCCTAATATTTACTGTCCACCTCAGTGAGCCACAATTTCCATAGAAGACTCAAGATGGCACAAAGTAAAATGTTATGTACTCAATTAAACCTGGAATATCCTTTCCCTTACTGAGGGCCAAATAGCTCTTTCAGACACACTGGTAGGCCATAAATTAAAGCATAGCTAAGTGTTAGCCAGGAGTAATGTAGAAGGAAAAAATGATATGATCCCAAGTGGCATGAAATAAAGTTACAGACCTTATTCAGTGCCTGGGCTTGTGAGTTTCCCACTGTAATTTGAGAAGAATCTCACTAACCTACAGTTTGCTGTAAGAGTGAAGCTCTTGCAGTGATGGAATTTGACATCCAGTCTCTAATAAGCTTCCTGAGAAATACTTAAAGATTTACACATTGAAGTGGCTACAAAAGATAAAACTGTAGCAGCAATTGGAGCAACAATAGAGCAGCAGTGGCTGGCATATGTGCAGAATTATTCATTGGAAAACAAACCAGGGAATTCTCTTCACGCTGGAGTATTTTATTTTTAGCACCTTAAGTAAAAGTGTAGGCTATTTATCTTTAAAAAGGTCTTTACTTAGTCATACTGCATATGGTTTTAGAAATCTACATATTAATTTCTTATTCTTTTTTTTAAATTGTTTTTCTTATTATTTTTTCTCTGATTACCTAAGATATTTATTGGAGTTATAATATCAGTTTATTCCGTATTTTCCATAATTCAGGATTTTTAGATTATTTTGTCAATTAACTATATCTTTCAAATGCAATTTTAACAATTAATTTAAATAAATAATTGTTAATTTGGTATTGTCCTATAGGACTGTATTTTTTCTCTTACAAAGACTGCCTATTTCTCTCTTTTGTGTGGGGGAAAATTATGTTTTAAAGTTAATTTGGAGCTCAGAAAGTAACTCTATTACTCCTGAACATTTGCTTAGTAATACATCTTTTTGGTGTATGCATTAGTTAGATTCAGAGACATCATGCTTTTTCAGTTTTTCAGTAAATTGAGCTTAATTTTCAAGAATAATAATAGCAGTCATTTTAAGCAATACACAGAAGTACATTCTCATACAGTGTACTGCTTCTTGTGATGCTTTGCTGTCTGCCAAATCTATCCTTGCTGACTATGATGGTCCTGAGTGTGAGGATGCAAACCTCAGAACTTGTCATCTGCCTTGCCTCCCACACCACGTGCCATGCAAAATGATCTTTGCCTTCTCATCACGTGTGCTGACATGCAGAAGCATCCTCGATGTTCCCATTTTCCTTCTGAACAGTCCATTATTGAACACTGCTATGTTTAGCTCATATGCCAGAGCTGGTTAATTGACATCCTCCAAACATGTAGGCTAGCTGGGAAGTTCTGCATATTTCTAGATTTTTTTTTCCAGGCTGACAGATTTTTGGGGACACATCATCCTGCTATGCATTAAGGAGAAGGTAACCTACAAGCCAAATTTGACTTTGAACAGAATATATGACAAGGACGTTACGCAGGGAAGTGTAAGACAGCAGAGTGTTTGTAAGTCAAGGTTAAGCAGAAAGTTGATGCAAATCTCAGAACTCCAAGCCACTGAAGTGAACTTACTCTTGTGTTACAGATTTATTGGCATTAGCTAGACTGAGACATCAAGGTCATAACTGTGTCTTATGAAAGGGTTTTCTAAATGCCTCTTTACCCTCCCTCAAGTCTACAGAAACTAGTAAGTTTGGTAGCAGATCTGGACTACTTCCCAAGAGGCTACTACACACCACTTTTCAACAGCCTTCCTTTGTGAAAAACAATGATCAAGGAAAAACTTCAGAAAAAATTGCAGTCATGCTTCAGAGAAAAGAATTAGTGTCTGGTTGTGGTGATTATTGAACCTAATTTAAAATTGAGGCATAAGACATTTATATCTAAGTTGGCCCTAAGTTTTTTTGCAAAAGAGAATGCATAAAAATTGGAAAATTCCTCCACTTTTAGTGGAGGAAAATGCACAAAATTAGAATGCAGTTCATCTGCTTTATATGCCTGCTTAGGAATGAATGAAACCCCACAAGTAATGAAGGCCTGGCTGAGCAGAACTGTAATACATTTGATTAGATGAACATAACATTAGTGAGCAGATTGTAACCTACTCGAGTAATATATTAAATTCTATTCAGAAATCAGAGGACTGACATTGTATTGTGAGTTTACAGAGAAATGTTCCTGTTTATGAAACTAGGTTCTAAATGTATCTAAAGACAGATGTTAATTACAAACCCAAGGTTTTCTTTGTTATCAGTGCTTTTGGTCTGAAGTTAGCTCAGTTGCTGATCGCTGCCTCTGAGGGAAACGTTCAGTGGTGATCTGAAAAGGCAGAAGAGAGGAGATAATGCAGGATGGAAGAACGGTTCTACACATCGTCTCAGGGGCACTGAGGAAAGGGAAAAGAAAAAGCACATAACCTGAGAAATGCAGGGAAGATAAGCCATGAACCTCTGAAGCACTCAGTTCCATTAGTGATATTTTCTATTTATATAACAAAGCATAAACAAAATATACCAATTAACAATCTGGTTAGCTGAACATTTATAGGTGCTATATATGTAATTGTGAAGCAAATAGGTACCCTCAAGGTGTGCATAAATAGAAAGTTTAACAACACAGCTGTTTATATTGAAGACAACACACTGTTTTGCAGATTCTGAAGAATCACAAGTTCATGGCAAGTTTATCTGGCATAAAAAGATGAATCAGTTGCACTGGATATACATGGAATGAAAGAATCTATATCTATAAACAATGCTGAGCAGACATTTGGTATACTTCCATCTTCTCAGTTGTAGTGTGAAAAGCTTTAAGTCTGTATGCTTTCTAGAACACATTTTGAGAGATACAAAACTTTAGCAGTTGTACTTGTTACTTCTATACCGCTAAGTATAGCTGTATGCTATACATATACAAGCTTATGTGTATGTGTCAATGCACAATGAAAGTTGTGGTTTTTTATGCTCATGAGCCAATGCTTGGTTGCAAAGAAATTTCACAAAACACTAAAATCTAAAAATTAACTAAATTTTTCTAAAAGTTCTAACTTAAGTTCTAACTACAAGTTAATTCAATTCTTCTTGTGGGAGAATACTGGTAAGTGCGCCTAGACTGATGATGCTACCATAGAAAAGTAGACCCTATCACAGAATATACTCAGAAAAAGCTTTTTTTTTTTTTTTTTTTTTTTTTTTTTTTTTTTTTTTT